CCGGCACCAGCCTGCGTGCATGGCCAGCGCCGCTACGGCACGGCCCTGGCGTGCTGCTGCCGGGGGAAACGCGTTTGGGGGTGAGGAGGGTTAAGAACGGTGTTTTTAGAAAGCATGAAGTTGTCGGTTTGCGGGGTTTTTTAAGCAGCCTTGCTCGACAGATCGTTTTTAACAGGTGCCAGCACATGGGTGTTGCTGTAGCTGCTAGAGGATTATTTTCTGCCACTCCAGTAGAAGCACACTTGGAAGTGGTAGTCAAAATGACAGGGCCTCTTTGCCCTTCGTTTCATTCCTGTGCTTTCCTTCCTTAGGAAGGAGATGGCTTTCCTGCGAGAACAGGCCTTGAGGCTTCCTGCAGGACAGCAGTTCACTATCTGCTGAACCGCTATGGGCGCCAGGGAAAAGGGGGGGAGGGGAAAAACGACACTCATCTGAAGCATTTTGAAAGTCATTCTTAATTATCCTGCCAACCCCCCCGCCCCCAACTTGACAAGTGTTGTGACTGACAATGATGGCTTGCAATCATTAAAGCACTTTAAATGCAATACTTAATACAGCTAAATAAAGCTGGATTCTCATTTAAGAGAGCTGATGGTTGTTCAAGATCTGTCAGATCTTCAAATTTGTGATCTGCCTTTAAAACCCCACAGCTGTCAGGAAAGGGAGGGGAAGAGGACTTTTTCCTGTTCATTGGTTCACCAGACTCCCCAGATCAAAGCTGTGCTGGTATTTGTGTTTATCAGAACAGCAGCATCTGGCCTAATCTCACTGTGCCAGTGTCGTTGGGAGGCTGTGACAGAACCCATGAGTATGAAGTAGAAACCTTTTCCTTTAATTCAAAAAGGAAAAGAAATCCCAGCGCTGATTTTAACATGAATAAGTTGACATTTAATTTATGACAGGCACATCTATGGAGGTGAGTGGGAAGCATTACTTGTGGGAGATGCACATACCAAAAGCAGTGGGGTTCCTATTCACTTTTCTAGCTTCATGTCCAACTAATTACTCTTTTCCCATAGAAATGAATTACTCCCAGTTTATCACCACTGTGAGTGCAGCAAGAAAAGCATCTCCAATAAGACTTCTGAGTGAGTATATGCCTGTTCTTTCCAGGTTCTCTGGAAGAAGGGTATCATTCTGTGTTCTGGACTTTGCTGGGTTATAGTGGCTAAAGGCTTGGAAGAAAGCAGTGCTGTAAGCTGACAAGCAAGGCCAGTTAACTGCTTTTGACTTTTGTCAGGTTGAGATGTCAAGCAGGTATAAAGAAGAATAAAGTGAATAGCCTTAAACCATTTCAGAAACCCATCCAGACAGAAGAAATAGTCTTGTCACTTCAGCAGGTGTCTGAAAAAAATCTCTGCTACTGCCTCTGAAGCAGGGCTTTTGGCACAGTTTGCTACTGAAATTCTGCTGCTTATCCAGGAACAAGCAACTGCTAATGATTTGAAATTCAGTCCCAGTTTGTGCCTTTCCACCTAGCTTTCCTGTACCCTGTTAATGTCCATAAATACCTCACCACCCCCACCCCCTCAGTGTTACTACACTTCCTTTTCTATATTACTCTGTCTTTAGGCTACCATGTTACATATAGTTGTCCGTGTGACAGGTAGAAAAGGTTAACTGCCTACTTGTTTACTGAGTTGAAACCTACAGGAACCTGACAGAATCAGAGCATGGGGACACACATATCTAGTTAAGCCTTTGGGTGTCAATTTCCTCTCTTGGCAAGGGGCTGGCATTTGCTCTTCTGCTTAAAATGCTTCATACAGGTACCGCTAAGTCAACTGACTCACTCTAGTCAGTCTCTATACTCTTTCAAGTGCTACATTGATAGGCATTGTAACACAAATATTAAGTAACACAGCTTGTGCAGAAAGACACATTGAGGGTGCTGTTTTGATGACAAAGTAAACCTCTTTACCAGACCGAAAGTCACAGACATGACCCATATTGCTGAGCTGATAAGAATTAACTCCCCATGCTCAATTTTGCTAATAAGTAGTGGAGAATAAACTCAGTAACAGGAGGCTTTAAGCCAGATGTGGTGTCATCTATCCTCTCATCTGATGTAAAACTGCCAAGCCAGCGTGAATGCCATATTGCAAGATCTTAGATTTAATGCAATCAGGTGCCCTTGCTGGAGGTTTGGTCCAGTTTGCACTGCATAGATTGGATCAGGATGATTGTGAAACTGTGACTTTAAAGCAGGAGTTGTCAACATTTTCTTCCTACTGAATTATTTACACAGTGCCTCTGCCACTAGAGCTGGGCTGCCAGAAACATTCCCTCTCCCTCATGGAAAAGCTGTAATCATATATGTAACTATCAGTGTAGCTGCACTACTGCCACATCAGCTAAAGTGAAACTTAGCAAAAAACAAAGCAGATCATTCCAAGTCGGTCTAAACAGAAGATCACTAAGATTTTAAATTCTTATAGCTTAAAAGACATCAGTCATAGAAAAAGCTTTTATAATAGTAGAACAGTCCAGATAAAAGCTATTTATAATTTATTTTAAAACAAAGATGATATTTTCTTTTGGTCTGTCCCAGCCATGTCTCTCTCCCTGCCCTCCCCCCCGCCCCTCCCCCCCGCCTCATTTAATGCAAGTGGAAAGGTGACTTTAAAAAGAATTACCATCCTTTTGAATTCATGACAGTTAAAAAAAAGGGAAAAATAGAACAAACTTCTCTGGACCATTATTATATACTGACTAAAGTATATGATCAATATTGCAATAATAAAAATGTAACCAAAGCCTTTTCCTTTTACTCTAGCTGAACTGATGCAGAAGTCTCCTTCATCTCTCATCTCTCTAGCTGGAGGGGCACCAAACCCTAATGTTTTTCCATTTAAGAGGGCTACTGTTGCCATTGGACATGGAACTGCTGTTGAGATTGGGGAAGATCTGATGAAGAGAGCACTCCAGTACTCAGCCTCAGCAGGGTATTGTCACAGCTGCTTGCTCTTCAAGATACCAGAATCAAAGGATCATACAATCCTTTATTATTGCATTAATTCACCTGTGTTTGTAAAACCTGTTTTTGTAAACTTCTTTCCATTTACCTCACTATTTACATTTCAGTTTAAGTTTTGAGCACGTGAGTAATATGAAAAAACACCTAGTAATTCTCAAGCCAGAGCATTTCCTGCCTTTTAGTATTTGAGAATCCAGACTCCCAGCTCACTAAGAGGAATTATTTTGTGTTTTGCACTAAGACATTCATTAAAAAAATACTGCATTGCAATACATAATTTGCACATTCTGGAGTATTTGTTTCACTTTCATTTTGGTGTCATGTAAAGTCAGTATCTACTACTTCTGGTAACTGGAGGTATTTATAGCATTGTCATTTTTAGTACAAAAATTGCATGTCATTAAGTTATGTTAGCACTTGTGAACTCTCCAGCAGACAGCACCAAGCCAGGCTTGTGGCAGGTTTGCAAAAATGTTCAGGTACCTACAGCGATACACAGGGTATTAATCAGTGAAGACTTTCTTAATAGTTAAATGAATCCAGCCATTTATGAACATCCTACCAGATCTTAGGACGTTTTTTGAAACATCCATTTCCAAAATCCTTATTATCTGCAGCCTGTTACTGGGAGCATTGCAAGCTTTGTCACATTGCCACATTTGAGTATTGAAAGATCACTCCTAGGAGCAGATGTTGTTCAGCCTCCACCCCCTATTCCATCCTTGGCAAGCCATTTCCACCCAGATTTCTATGTGATAATTTGGTATATGGACAACAGATGCCCATCTCTTCTGCTTTTCCACAAGAAGCATTTATCTCATCATTTGATTAGGCAGTCACAAAATCAGCATCAAAATCTGTGTGACAGCTGAAATCAGACTGAGGACTGTGTGCTAGATTTGGCAGTGATTTAGAGGAACAGCCTAGCTTTGGCCTACATAAGATGACAGATACACCTTATCTTATTCACGTTTCAGGATTCCAGAGCTCTTGTCCTGGCTAAAGGCTTTCCAGCAGAATCTACATAACCCCCCCACAGCCAACTACAGTCCTGAACAAGGACAAATGGAAGTGTGTGTCACAACGGGCAGCCAGGAAGGCTTGTGTAAAGTAAGACCAGAAGCTTCATATGTTAAAAGCATTTCTTTCAGAGAGATGTTTGTTCTTCCATCTGTTCAGTTATACTCAGCACTAAGTGCATTTGTGTAACTATATGCAGAGTACTTTGTTAAATATACATCTCGCAGTGTTATCAATACAAGATAATAGAACTGAAATAAAACTGGTGTGGCAGTCTAATCTGTCAGGACTGCATGAATGTTTGGATAACCCAAAGAGCCTGTCAGAAAATATGCTGTAAGGTAGCATCTCATGTTACTCAAGTAGTGCAGTAATAAGTACATAGATGCATTACTTGTTTTTCTGTGACTCAATTCTAATTAGGTTAGACTTCCTCAAATAATTATCCTTTCTAGTCTACTCTTACTACTGCTTAGGTGATCCTTTCTGTAACTGAAGCACTGTTTATATTGTATAACAGGGCACTGTCTTTCCATTTCAAATTTGCTTTCTTTAGGTGATTACCTAGCTTCATTTGGCACCAAAGCAGATTCTTCGCCAATTAAGTGGTTAGGGTATTACCAATATGTAACCAAGATTTTTAATCCCACAAAGAAGTTAGAAGCGTGGAGCATGTGTACAAGAATGGCACAATCTTCCTAAAATAGACCCTCTTTTACAGGTGTTTGAAATGCTTATTAATCCTGGGGACAACATCCTTTTGGATGCACCTACATACTCTGGGACACTAGCAGCTGTAAGTATTCTTTAGCTACAACACATTGTGAATCTTACATTTGAAGTAAACAGCAATTTAGTACCTGATCTACAGGCTTATATACGCCATATTTACTGCAAAAACATATCTAAGAATCAAACTTTTAGCATTAGTCCAGTTAAGTTCATTACTACTTCATAGAAGCTTTTCTACTAAAAGTTCTGTAAGAGCTATTCCCAGGACAGAAGTTCCTCTTCCAAATCAAGGGCTAAAGTCACATTTGGTATTGGAAAGAAAGCCATCACAACCGAGTTGGGTTCAAGCAAATTTCTAACAAGTAGGTATTTTAACACATTCACCTGAAGTATTTCATGGTCTGATTATGCCATAGCTATAAATAGTATAAAATTGGAATGGGCCCAAAACATCCATAGAGGAGTAGGAAGTTGTGAATTACTAAGAAATATACAAAAATAGCAAAATTTACTTCTGAAAATAACTTAATCGGTATGTAATTGAATGTCAGCTCAAAAGGCCCAAGAACTGTAAGAAGGGTTAGAATAGGTAATACACCACAAGTTCAGTCTTGTCTCAGCCTTGCATCAAAAGGGATTTTCTTACTGTTTGCTGTGCTAAGTTGAAATACATCTTGTCTAATCAAATATACTTTGTTAGGAATATATTTTGACAATGCAGCAACTTGCATTTTTACTTAAAAATGCAGAGCACTACACAGTACAAATTGAAATTCCACAGAGAGGAGACAGCATGCTTTTTCTTTGGTATTTGACCTATATTTTTTCCATATCGCTGTCAACATGTCATTGCAGTAGCATCATTTCATTCCCCTTCGCATTGCTGAATATATCTATTGAGAACAGATTCTTTGCCCTTTGTCAGTGAAGAGTAGCTTATAGTTCTGGCACTTCCACTGGAATAGAGTGTAAATTGTCAGTAGGAAATGAAGATGCTATGAACTTAGTATCTGTGGTGAGAGCATGATGAGTCCTGAGAGAACACAGTTCAAATTCACAAAATCCCTTTCTGCTTGCAAAACCATGTGTGGTTTCCTAGAGAAGAGCACTAACTGGACATAGGAGCTACCTGTTTCTTCTCAGTTAGCTTAACAGGGCAAATAAAGAGTGACGTGGTAAGTTTGACAAGCTTCAAAGCAAATTCAGGCAAGCTTTCTTGTGAAACATGAGCAAATGGAGTTTGATATTATAGCTGTAAAAATCAGGAAGACTTTGTATCGATGACATTTTACAATGCCAATGACAAAAGAAAGACCTTTGAGTTATGGTGGTATGACTGTTTTGTTTCTCCTATCAACAGCTGAGACCTTTGGGTTGTAACATAATTAACATTCCTAGTGACCAACATGGCATTATTCCAAAAGCTCTAAAAGAAATTCTATCTACTTGGAGCTCAGAAGATGTAAAAAATCGTAGCCACCACCTCCCCAAATTCTTGTACACTATTCCGAACGGATGCAACCCAACTGGAAACTCTCTGACCACAGAGCGCAAGAAGGAGATTTACCAGGTATGTAGCTTGGGCCTTGTGAATATCAGTCTCATTTCAGGTGAAGATACCCTGTGTGTGGTATTTGGGCCTATTACTGGTCCAGTAGAACTAATTTCTAGCAGAACCTCTTTATGACAACTCCTCAGAGGGGCACTATGCATTAGATTAATTGTTTCTGCAGCAGTAGTCCATTGCTGGCTGGTTTCTTTGCCATGAGCTTCAAACTGGACTTATTGCAAGTCTTCTGCACAGTTTGAACACTGCATGGAACAGACTTTCAGTTATATACGTGTGTCCTTGTACCATAGGTGCCATGTTTACTCTTTAATTGCTTGATGTCTAAATTGGGCATCTGAAAGCTTCTCTTGATAGGCCTTTCTATATAGTGAATGAGCAATCCATAGGATCATAATATGGTCCTGGGAATAGGCCCACATTATAGGAAAAACTGAATTTACAGTGTTTTTACATTTTAATGAATCTTTACTTTTTATTTATTTCTTTAGCTTGCGAGAAAATATGATTTCCTTATAATAGAAGATGATCCTTACTACTTTCTTCAGTTTGAAAAGGTAATTTGTCTTCCATACTCCTTAGTAACACCTTCTTTTCTGGTCCAGGAGAGGACTAAGGTTTGAGCCATGGATCATCCTGCATGCACCTTCTTCATGTCCTATCAAGGTAGTTTTAGACCTCACAGTCTATACTACTTTAGGTTGTTGTCCCCTTTGTGGCATTTGATTGCATCAGTCCTGTTAATCAGTGATTCAAATTCCTCAAGCCTTATACAGGACAGAGTTTCCTTCAGTAGTCAGAAACGGGCAAAGAGTTCGCCTCCAGAGCAAAACAAGTATGCCACTGAAGCAGCACTTGAAAACAGCGGCCACTTAAACGTTTCTTTCAGCCCAGTCTCTTCTTCCATTCAGTAGAAGGCTGCCTACTCCCAATCTACTATACCCCATTTTTACTCCTGTGCCTTTTGGAGAATCCAAGAGAATTCTCCCAGATACCACAGGAAGTAGTACTGGATAGGCAGCTTCCCTCCTTCATGTAGATTTTCCCCAAATGGGTATCAATTGATTATTGACCTGTTTTCACACATGGATCTACAGTTGCACACTCTGCAAACATACCTAACTTCTGGAATAAAAGCTGGTCTTATAAAGTAGTAAAACATTGGTAGAAGCTAAGTTAAGTATTTGCTGTTTTGAAATACATTTTTTATGGGAGGAAGCAATAGAACTGCTTCACTTACCCATTGAATAGCATTGTGTAGCTTTGTCAGATTGTAAGGGGAGAAGGTGTAAAAGTAGAATTCTTGATAAAGAAAAAAGTGTGCTGAACTCATCAAAATTTGGTCGTATCTTCTGATTTCCTTTTTTGAGATTAAAAAAAGCTACAGGGCCCCATCTTAGAAGTTATGGTATCTGCTTACTCCATAAAAAAATCTTGGCAAAGAAATCGTTATTTCTCTCTCCTACTTATGGCATCGTACCAGAACTTGAACTGAAGACTTGTACACTGAACAGTGGGCTAAGCATCAAAAAATAACACAGCTGATTTCTTGATGACTTTCATAGAATATTGTAATCACATCTCAGACAGCTAGCCTAAGCTATCACTTGTCAGCAAGTTACTGCATTTTTTCCTTGGAATGCATATATGTAAAATATTTACTATCAAAGTATTTCTTTAAGAAAATAATTATGTCTTCATAGTAAAGAAAATAATTCTATCATAATCCTTACTAGCACCTTGAATTTTATTTTTTATTTTTCTTCCAAGCCATGGGCTCCAACTTTCCTCTCAATGGATGTGGATGGCAGAGTTATCAGGACTGACTCTTTCTCTAAAATTCTCTCATCTGGGTAAGGCCAGCTCAGCATTGCCTGTTCAGTTAAGGCACAAGACTAATGCTTCATACAAAATGATCAGACGTGTCAGTGGGTTTTTTTCATCTAATACCTATCCATTTCTGGAATGTACTTTCAGATACACAGCTTTTCTCAGTCTGCTCACTTTTCATGTCATCTCTTGGCAGTCATTTAACTCCGTATTCTGTTTCTCTTCCAATACTGATAGTTAAGCCACTCTCCCCAGGCAGCCCATTCTTGCAGACACCATCTAGGCAGAAAGACAGATGCTGGATTCCAGCTCTGTTCCTGGAACTCCTAGGAGCTTCTCTCCCTTCTTTTTCCATTCCTCCTTCTATCTCTTACCATTCCTGTAGACTCACTGAACTTGTAGTATAGAAGAGAAATGATGGCATCATTCTCCGCAAACTGCTCATGGGGTTATACTGATCTCTTGTCTTCTAGCCTTAGAGTTTTCAGGTTGTTTCCACCTGCCTGAAAAACTAAACTCTGTTCTCCATGTCACACAAGTCAATATATTTGATTTTTAACTTGCTTTTGTTTATTATCCTAATAGATATAAGTAATGTGAATTCTGCACTGGCAGCTAGGGGATTATAACCCCATCCCCGAGAAAGTAAGGGGACAACATGATGCTAAGTGTGATTGCACTTTCGGAAGTGACACTGCAAAAAAGGCATGATGCAATTTTGTCTTTGTCAGAAATGCCTATGAGCTTACTGGTTCTGTTTTTCTTCAAAGAAAAACTTCAGCCAGTCTGTAAAGATGGGTCATAAGAATTGAAGCATGAATAAGAATCTAGTTTATCAGTCTAAATTGCATTTATTCTGTAGTACTGAAAGGGAGTGAAAGAGTAAAGCTGTTTGCCGCTTCCCATCTGTTTTTCATAAAACCTGAGCATTCATGGTTTTTCATTATGTGAAAACCTATCTTTCCTTTCATTCATATAATCTTTATGGTTGCAGAGGAAAGCTTACATATGTGGGATATGTCCTGAAGTCTCAGAATTAAGAAGCTACTACAAGAATTAATACCCTTATATATTTTTAATTTCATGACTTTGATACTCAGCTTATAAATTGCATAAGCCTGGGGTTTAGGGCAGTATTAAGATATACATAAACTTAAATGCACAGAAGATCCTTACAATATCAATGGAATGGTTACCTGTTTTCCCAGTTAAGTTAAACCATAACTCACACCAAGTATTACCACACTATATTTCTGTAGTAACTTTCTTCTTTTTTTTTTCTCCTAGGTTAAGAATAGGTTTTCTGACAGGTCCCAAGCCTCTTATCGACAGAGTTATTCTACACATTCAGGTTTCAACAATGCACACCAGCACTTTCACACAGGCAAGTACCAAACTGTCAACCAAATTGTGTTTAGAAAAGATAACGTATTCTGAGTCATAAGAAACCACAAACAGCTTTGCACTTTCACAGTTGCTCTGCACTTTATATAATAAGCACACACATTCATTGTCAATTCTGCCAAAGGAAGAGAGACTACCATAGAAATTACAACCAGAACTAGAGCGTCTCAGTGAATGGAAAGCACAGCTGATATGCCCTTAACCCTCAGATTTCAAGAATCAAGATTTAAAATACTTTATATCTCTTGCTAGTAGGTTCACTTGAAAAACCTCAATGTAAAGCATACATTGGAAGAAGCACTTTGTGGTTTTCTGTTTTTCATTTCTGCCACAATACTGGCAGCCCACAAAGCAGGCTGCCAACTACAGCCCCTTTACAGTTAGTAATAAGGAAAGGAGGCACTGAGCACATCTAAATATGGCTTCCACCTTCCAGCTCTATTAGTTCATCATAGAGGCAGCACTGAAGCTGAGAGGCTGATATGGGCAGAAAGGTAAAGCAATATACATTGCCTTCCTTTTTCTCCCCGATGACCATATTTAGCTCTCCATCCATTTTTCCCGCCCCCTACCCCAGCTTCCAAACACTGCCATGATCCTTGGAGGCAGCAGTAACACGGCCTGCAATGGTCAGTTGCTGTTGCCACCTCCGTTTACAAAGGACTCCAGGAGACCCCACATGCAGTTTCTTGCCTGTGTGGAATTGTGAATAATGCATCAGGCTATGTGTCTTTTGATGATTGCACAACAGTCCTGTTCAAAATGTGGTATTGATGATGTGTTTTATTTCTTTAGATTATGATATCACAGCTGCTTCAGCAATGGGGAGAAAAGGGTTTCTTGGAGCATGTAGACAGGTAGGGTCATGTCATATGCTGAACCCCATCATCCGTCATTCTGCTTCTTGTTACCTACATAAGACACTCTTTGCAGTGAACAGGTCAGAGGAAGTGCATCAGTATTGGGCCAAATGGCTACGCCAGGTCACCAAGACTTGACGATATTCACACAAGAGTCCCGAAGGAGCTCGGTGTGAAGTTGTGGACATGCCCATCAGGGTATGTGACCTGCCTCTACAGACAGGCAACCTGCCTGTCCACTGGCACAGTCATTATGCAGCTCCCATCTGAAGGGAACTGCAGAGGAACCTGGGAGCTCCAAGTCAGCAAATACTTTTCACCCCTGCCAAACTGGTGGTGTCTATAGCAAAGGCTAAAGTCACTGAAGACATAAGCTACTGAGGAAGGGTCGGCCTAGCTTCGAGGAAGGGAGTTCTTGCCTCGCTAACTCAGCAGGGATTCATCCTGTAACATCCTTAATGTAGTGATTGTGGATGCTGATGGAATGACCTACAGAGAGCAGCAAGGTTCACCTGCACTCACTAAACACTGCCTAAGGTCTAACTCGGCAAGGCATTTTCTTACATACTCACTGACACACATATGTTTTTCATTTACTATGCTGGAGAAGCATTTATTAATTTATTATAGTCTCTTGAGTATCTATGCTTCATTTCAGATGCCATACTCAGATGCCCTTAGAACCCCAAGCTTCCCACTTCAGTGGCAGTTTGCTAGACTCTGCAGAGGCCTGTAACAGGAATGCAAAAAAAACACAGAAAAAGTTCTTTTGTCTCACTGTAACAGCCATTTCTGTCCCCTGCACACCTGCCTGTTGTCCACACTGTAAACACTGTGAAGAAAAAAAAAAAAACAAAACAGACAAACAACAAAGTAGCCCTAGGTTTGCCTTGTTTTAAGAATTAGGAACATGAAAATAGGTTTTGCAAGGAAAGTCAGACCACACTTTAGCTCAACTTCCAGCAGTTAGAAAAACACATCTCTTCACTTATCTTCTTATAAACCAAAAGTCATCCTTGCTCAAACTAGAAGACTGTCCTTCCTCTTCAGCTGATGAAAACAGTGCTGTAGTAGGGTAGCTGCAACCCTTATAACCTTCTAGACTCAGTTGTCAGGTGGCTTATTGATGAGGCCCAACAGCTGACTGCAGTCTCTTCCAGGTGATTTCATTTGGACAAGGTTGACTTGTTAGATCATGCTTTTGAGTGGGAGCTAGCCTGTTGTTTGGAGCAGCTGTATTTCTGTGGTAACCTTGTCTTACCAACACTTATAATTTCATTCCAACGGAAAAGTAAAATGATAACAGGCAAAAAACTTGCAACAGAATTTGTGAGGTGATAAAAACTGCATAAATGAGATTTACCATTTCAGGCAGAATGTAGTGATTGGCATAGGCCGAGCCCCAAAACTATATAAGCCTTTGGTAGTGTTGGTGTTTGTTTATCAGGTGTAATAAAATACATCCAGAAATCAAAGCTATTGGTTCAGAAAGTATTAAAAAAAATCTAAATGTAAAATTATGCAAATTTGTTTTCTCTGAAGAAATGGGAATACATTTGCATCTGATTTATGAACTCTGTATCAGGCATTTCTCTTGTGCCTCCCGTTGCACAGCTGTCTCATTCTAAGTCAACAAAAGCCACATTTCTATATGTACCTATTATACAAATTCAGCTAAAATGCACAAATATTGAGTCTGTGCCTTTACATACCTGTAAGTCCTTAATTTTCTTCTGTATGCCTGTTTTTTGCAGTAAATATTGCTAACACTGATACAACAAACAGAATGGATGTCATACATAAAGAGTTTCCATGACATATATAAAGCTTAAGAAGCAACCACACAGGCACTTCCTCTGGTTATCAATGCTTTGTTGGAAACGTGCTGAAGCATTCAAGGCTTCTCTGGTACATACACAAAGTTTTATACACACAGGATAGATACTGTATCGTGCCCATCTAAGATATGCTCGTATTTCCATTAAATGTGCACTTAGGTTGTTCAAGTAGAAAAGCTTTTTTTCTGCCTTTGGAAACAGATGGACTCTGAGGCACTATGAGATCATGACTTTGAATTGATAATTTACTTTCAGAGTTGTGGAATTCTACAGGACCCAGCGGGATGCAATGCTCATTGCCGCTGACAGGTGGTTAAAAGGTCAGTGAGTGCAACACAGCTCATTACTTAATTTTTTTTCTAGCTGTTTATCATCTTTGTGTTCAAGAAAAATCACTAGAGTTCATCTCTTGGCTGAAGTGAGAAATAAGCACTATAAGCAAATCAATGACACTAAATATTAAGCTTAGGAGAAATTATCTAGTGCTGCACTTTTCATGCATTTCTGGTGGGACAAGGAGATGGTGATGAGAAAAAAGCTCACCACTTTACTGTATAAAGCAGTTTTACAAAGAGCATATATTTCACTCCACTATGTTCTTATACTTATGTTTAAAATGTCTGTCTTTAAAATCTTTGTCCAAAATAGCCAGATTTAGTGGACTTAATTTAAAGTAAGATACAGCATTAGTGATAATCATTTTTTGGTCAGAAACCAATTTCAGATGTCTCTTTGTGGTTAATCGCAGAGCATAGAAAGAATTTGATCAACAATAATGCAATTACAGTTATTTACTCACTCCCTTTAGTCAAAGTAGGATCACCAATAACTGCTTAGAAACTGCCCACCTACCATAGATGGTACTTCCATGGGACATGGGGACTTGGGCACCACACCATCATTAATGTACTTACTCTTGCTAATTCCAGGGGTTTAGATATGAAGTATTTCTTCTTTTTCTACATGGCTCTGAACAGCCATGGGTTGTTGACCTAGGTAGGCCCTTTGTCTCAATTCCCCAAGTATCAAAACAGTGTAATAGCACTGGGTACCTTAAAGTGTATTCTGAGAATACGCACATGGAAAAGACTTCAGGGTCTTGATGTTTTCTAGTAATAGGAGTCATAATATTATGGAAGGCAGACCTTTGCTTTGTGGATATGTAATGGTTAAATACATCAAGGAAGAGCTGGAGAAGATGTCGAGTCAAATAAATAGTTTCTTCAAAACCAGATAAAGAATTCTAGGTAAATAAAAGGTATACAGTAAGTCTGCAAATAGCATTTAAGACATAAATCCTCTCTAAGCCTTCCCATCCTCCTCCTAACTCCTAGGCTCTCCTTTTCTTTGGGGAAAAATCTATAATCATTGTAACTTAAAGGAAGAGAGTTCTGCACTTTGCTACACTTTAAATCGTATTGATAGTCAATGTGATATTAAGAGAAACTGCATCAGAAAAAATATTTTGGATTGTGTACTTGATCTGAAAGTAATCAACAAATATAGTTTGTTAATGTTTGGGATTTCTGTAATTCAGAGCAATCACTTTCACTAAAAGTATTGAGGATACCAGCACAAGTGCAGTAAGCTCACACAGATTTGATTAGGAGTACTTTAAATTTGGCAAGGGGCATCCTGGCTCTGTGGCCTGCATTCCCTTTGAGTTCATTGGAGCAACAACTCTACAACATCACTGAATCTATGATGTATCAGTTAAAGGTGAGGCAGAAGTTTCTTTCTCTTCTTTTCTGTCTCTCCCTCCAGGCTTGGCAGAATGGTACCCTCCTGCTGCTGGCATGTTCTTGTGGATCAAAATTAAGGGTGTTTCTGATACACAGCAGCTGATCATGGAAAAAGCTTTGCAGAAGGAAGTATGACCTATGGTTTAATGGCTTATGAAGTTAAAATGAAATGAGGGAAGGATAAAATAAATTTACCCTATCTATCTGCACATATGTGCACACATAAAAAAGCAGGGGAACTTGCAATGCACTATCATTGAGTCTGCAATTCAGGCATTGTCGCATGGTGACTCATTAATAAAATAATTTCGTGTCTGTATTCAGATGTTGATATTTAATCAGCTTACTTAAATCTAAACCATTACAATATACAGTACAATGCATCATGTGTACAACATACATATATATGATATTAATATATGTACCTATATGCATGTTTTTGGCTTCTCCTTTTGAAGAGAAGAAATGTATTATGCCATGTTCTAATACAAGTGTTGCAGCAGTGAGCCTCCTCACATTTAATGGAACACAGTGTTTTAAAACTGTAGAAGTGGTGATAACTGCGTGGCTAATCAATTTTTCTTAGGTGTTACTGGTTCCTGGAGGAGCATTTAATATCGATAGTTCAGAGCCTAGTTCTTATGTCAGAGCCTCCTTCTCTCTGTCTTCTCCAGCCCAGATGGATCTCGTAAGTGACCTTTTTTTTCTTTACATTCTTACCAGAACAGTTTCTCACATAATAATGCTCGTGTATTTTTACTGTACTTCTCCTTACGTGTTTTCTTGAATGTTAGCGTAGTTTTTTTAGTACTTAGGTGGCAGTACTTTTGAAGCAGTATTAGCTGTTTCTTAGGCAGCATACTCATATCCAAATGACCTGAAAGGTACCAAATTTTTAGACCACCTAGAATTTTTCTGTGTATCTCATACATGTAGCTTCTTACACTTAATCCTCCCAGACATTTTTCATAAAGGCTTTACCGAAGTCAGAGTAAGTTTTGCTATTTGCTTTAGCATTAGCAGGCATCTCGTACCTTTTATTTCCCTTCCTGAGATTGAATTACCTATTTTCTTTTGTGTGTGTGCTGTTAATTCTTTATAAGGAAAAAATACTGGTTTTCTTTCATACAATTGACGTATACGTTGTATTTAATTTCTCAGGAACTAATCTTCTATGTATTTTAGGAACATTTTGGATAGTCATTAGTTGTATCTTCTTGGGAAGAACTATAGGAAACATTTATTTGTGCAGATTTAATACTTGTTTGATTCAGGTACTTGAAACAGTTCAGTATTTGTAGTAGTACTTTCATTCAGTTAAGTGCTTCTATTGTCTTTCTATTTCTTCTTCTGTATTCCTTTTATTTCTTCCTTCTTCTTTGTAAAAGTAATTCATAACCATACTATCGACAGTCAAATTGTATCTTTTCTATCCTTCCCCACTCAACTGTTCTTCCTTTTCTTTCATCTTTGGAGCCTCTAAGCCCTTACATTAAGTTAAAAGAGATATTCTTCCATGGATCACTGGTTGTATTGAAACTGCAACTGTTTAGTTGCATCTGAACTCTGAATAACCTTTGAACAACAATATATGTATTTTTCTGTTTCAGAAAACTCCGCCTTTTATTTCCTGTCAGAGAAGTGGGGGCTTTGTCCAGTCAAAGCCCATACATGTTGTTATAAAAGGAAAACAGAGAATATAAGCAGGTTTTGCAGTATAAAATACTCAGTTTCTATATGGTTAGGGTGGCTTTAGTAGCTTTGAAGGTTTGGTGTGTTGCCTATTTAAGTAATGCTGAAATATAAACGTGAACCATATTTGTGTCATTGCAGGCCTTCAAGAGACTGGCTGACCTTATAAAAGAAGCTCTGTGAAAAAGCTAAATGGAGCTCTTGCAGCAACCAAAATTGTCTCCAGAAAATATTGATTAACATTTAGATTTCATTATAACACTTAGAAAGAAAGCACAATACAGTGGATGTTTCCTTAGATCGTTTCAGTTAAAAAAGCAAGAAATTAAAAATGTGAAAACTAATTTGCTTAATTTTTTTGACAGTACATTGTATTACTAAATTTATTCGAATTCAGGTACATTTAAAATGCTCAAAAACTCCCTGTTTCCTGTCAAATCCATGGTTTTGTTGGATTTCAACTGATTTTTGTTCTGGCTTTTGTTTTCCATTTGGGTTGGGAAACAGGGAAGTCAGTTACTTAGGAAGTTGCACCTGAGATGGTCTTAGCCACTATTACTTAATCCCAACTAATACATTCCTCCAACTCCTTATGTTGAAATTGTTTTTGTGTGTCGCTTTCCTTCTTGTCCTGCTATATGGCATCTGGTTTTGAAGAGTTGAAGATCAGTATTTAATTTTACTAAAGTTTTGTCAGACAAAACTGACGTAAGGATGTGAAAAAATTGAAACTGACCCAGCAAAATTAGGCTATGATTACAAATAAAACTATTTGGCCTAAGGTCCCTTGCAATTGCATGGGGTTTGCAGCTCGTTCTCTAATTTGCAAAAAGTTTTCTGATTGCTGGCTTCCACTTCAGTCTGTGAATAATTACTCTGTACCTGTCTTGGTTTGAAAGACAGGTGT